TCTGAATGATTTTTGTATGAAAAAATAATGATAAGTGTGTATAATTTTGTTTTATTTTTTTGTATTATGTAAGACTAATTGTTTTTTTTTTAATGAAATAGGGAAATATGTTGATTTTCAGATGGAGGGGATTATATATGAGTATTCTAGTCTTTATAGTGGTCTAGCAAGTGCGATAACATCGCAGCTAATGATAGATGCTAATATTCACAATATAGATATAAAATATATAGTTAGTGATAGATGTCCCCCTGTTAGTATCCACAATGATGTTGGTGTGCGGGTTTTTTTAGATCAAAAGAAAGCTAATGTAGATTTCTTTACGATTTCATATACTTGGAAATAAAATTTATTCCAGATTAATATATAAGATAGTGTAAATATAGTGTAATATATAACAAACTTTATACCAATCTTATTCAAGTTTCATTCCAACACGAACTTCAGCTTATATCACACATATTATACCAACAATAAATCAATTTCATATAATCACACAATGCATATCATTTTTATACCAATATTTTATCACAATTAATACAATATCCAACCATCAAACATTAAATTCAGTGTTATACACATATTAATCAAATTTCACACACATTTCATCCATTAATTGTACAATTTGGATACACACTGATATTTTAAAATAGTGAATCCAAATGGTATGAAGTCTGTATATTACTAGTATCCTGAAATTATAATAGCCAAATAGTAATTCATATGTAGATGATATCTGATTGGAAGAAAACATATGGTATTATATATCATGAAATACTTAAACACAAAAAAATTGTCCAAAAAAAAAAAAAAACATGTAATTTAAAAAAAGTAGAAGGTGCAATCAACTATTTCAAATTTCTTGTATGTGGTCTTGGTGTAGGATAATTGGTGGTATCCGAAACATGTTCTTTTGCTATGCGAGTTCCACCAAATTTGCTAGCAACCGTACCAGTAACTTCACTCTCACTGATCGCGCCATCCTCACTCTTTGTATATACAGTTAATAAATAATCACACCACTGTTAAAACACAATTCATACCATTTGTATACCACTATTATATCACAAATCATACAATATCCAAGAATCAACTGTTTAATCGGAATCATACACATATCAATCAGATTTCATACACGTTTCATCCAAACAACTATTTCGAAAATAATATAAGAATAATGTGATATTTTTAGAGAAAAAAACAGTAGTTTTAATAATGTGAAAATAAATTGAATATAATACTTACCCTAACAACTTTTTTGTCTTTTTTAGGTGTTGCTCAGTCGTCAAAACCATCTACAAGATAGACATTCATTGATTTTCACA